CTGAGCCCACGTGACCAGTGGCTGAAACTGACGAACCAAAGTTGTGAGGTTGAGCGTTGGGGCACGACGAACCTTTTACGAATTGCTAAATGAACGAAGCTGGATAGCTGTCCAAATGAAAAAAACGACACGATGGTGGGAGCTACTTGTAGGTGAGTTGACGCTGCTGTGGGATGCCAGTACACCCCAGCATAGAGTAGCTTGTTCTGTACAAGGGAAAGGCTAGACGAGACCAACTTGACGTATCCTGGTATTAAGAAAAGCTCCACGTACATTTTATTTGTATTCTACCATTAAATCCGCTGCACCATCCCCATCATTGCCTGAAGCACGCATTAAATTCCTGTCTCTGCCGTAAGTGCAGCAGCTGCTCATTCGCTTCGCAGGCGCGCGGCCCGTCGCGAAGTTGGGCGACCAGCTATACCCGAACATCATAAATCCGAGCTGCCCGGCAACGGCTGTGGAGCCTGTGGCGCTCTTCATGGAGACTGTGTGTTGCAACAGACCGCTGAGTCGGCAAAGGTCTACGTTCAACAGAGGAACTAACCATAGAAGATAGATTGAACGTCGTGGGACTCACAACGGAACAGCCCTTGATACGCTTGGAACTATTGATGCAGTGCCAGCCCATCGAGTGCCATTAGTACCCTGCTGTGAATGCTGCGGGAGAGAAAAGTTCGTTGCGAAGCCCGGGGTCTCGAGTCCTAGCAGTACCGGAATGCATGTATGTATTAGTAGAAGTTGGGCATGCATTGCCCGTAGCCGACCCCTCGTGTTGCGAAAATGGATAGCCGAGACAAGTTGCAACACGTCAGTATGTGTAGCACCAACTATGCACTGTACAGATAAGGAAAAGGGAAATCACCCTTTACTTTTCGCTGTATCTTCCAGAAGAACACACTCATACAAATAGCAGACGAAAGACATCGTGAAGTTACCGTAAATGGATGTAAGCGCGGCTTGTAGCAGCTGCTACTCACGAACGGGAAAGAAGTTTATGAAGACAAACTAGCAAGCGTTCAGATGCTCTGGTAGACGTGGAATACAAAAGAGCATCTCGACTTGGAGACAAGGTTTGCCACAGAAGAGGCGAAACGAGTGGATACGGTAGAGGAAGAGAGATATTCTCAGAAACGAACAGTAGCATTTCGTTGCCTCTTGGACAGGTGATGCTTCGCCGCGCTCTTGGTACAATAAAACTACTTTCGAGTTTGCAAGTGGTGTCGACGAAGACGTAGTATGCTTTACTAGAGCAGTTATATGATCATGGAGCGAAGAATGAACCCATAGCACGGGTGACGGAGAAGCCGTATTATCGGCATCTCGTTCCTCCTGCATACATCCAGCAACGTACTTTGTACTGTACCAGTACCGTGCACACCTCAGTAGATTAGTGAAATACGCAGGAACCTGAGCTTGACGCACGGCTGAAACGCGAATAAAAGCGGAATTTTGGGCTCTCTCAGGAGGCATAAAGCTAGTGCAGCAAAGTTTGGTCGCGAAGCGAGGAATTGATGTAAGTATAGCGAGGACAAGAAGGAGAGCCATGCGTTGAACGCGAGTTTAGAAATTATAGGTGGAGTGATCGTAGGCCGGCGCTGAAGCGTATGATTCAGCGGCGGATCGAGACGAAGATAACATCAATTTGGCAATGATTCCATGGTGCATGACAGTTAGTCATTTAGTCGAACGAGTCGCCGGTGTCCTACGGTAAAGGAAAATTTTACACCTCCCGACGGTTTGCTAACGACACAGGTGTTGGTATAAGGATGTCCAGTATCCTGCCTAAGTATATGCTTGATCTAATCCCTTGCCGGGATAAGTTGTTGTCGAACGCATTGTAACGGGGCAATGCTTACCTCGTACTGGAGCACCAGTGCGGAGTTAGCTTTCGCTGACAACAGTAAAGATCATTGCCGTGCTAGGTGTAAGCACTACACAGAAGAAGGATGAACAACTAAGGCAAGGCTCTAGTTGTAGGAAAAACAAAAAAGGTATTTGATTTGAATAAGTCCTACACCTCTTGTTCTCCGTTTGACCTGACGTCATTAATATTAATATGACTAAGTGAATGATGACGCCTATTCTCCACCCGTTGCGCGCGTCTAGCAGCGATTGGTGGGTTAAGATTTTCACAATATCAACCAATGAGCAGATCTTCGGGTGATTTCAACAAAATCACTAATTATAGTGATATTGTTCAATGAATATTTAACAACATATTCTTTGTTACCATTTCGCACAATGGGGATTTTACGAAACGAGCTACCCCGTTACATGCATAGCAATCCACTGGACAACATATCCCCCCCAAGATTCCATAACTACAATTTACGTCCCTGCTAGTTGTGCGGAGTCCCGTCAATGGTACTTGGGTGCTCTTCTTTGTATTGATCGCGCGTCAGCCGTGGCGTCTGACATTGAATTGGACTGCGTGGAAGCTGTGCCAACAACATGAAACTTATCCACGTTTTTGCGGCATTGATCATAAACGTCAAGTGAGTATACACGTAAGTATACTGACCTGGATAAGTATTTCCTGATGAATTGTTAAGATGCATGTTCGGTATCTTCAACGACGCAAAGCACACGTCAATGGTAAATCAACGCCTCTCATAGTTCTACTGAAGAATCTTCGTCGTCCGCGTAATTGCGTATGATGGGAATTAGATACGAAACATGGTCAAATCCGTGTAGTCTTGGGCTGTGTCGACTGCCACAAATGCATAATAGCTGAGTCGGACAAACCTGTTTCGGGGTTGCCGTTTTGGCACATCCATAGCCATATGCATACAGAATAGGAAATTATGTGGTAATCGTGTCTCATGTGGCTTTGGAAATGTCGCGACATCGCGAAATGCAGCTCGGTATGCTTCCTGTACTTACAATTCGCATAGACACATTGAGGTCTGGTGAATGATTCCTCGTGGACAAGAGTCGCCCGTTTAGAAAACGTGTTGCACGGTATCATTCATCGTTCAGAGAAGGATTATCGGCAACGGCGCGGCACCGCTCCTACATTTCTCTTGGATCGTCTGTATGATACCTACCTAGTCTTTTGATGGCGGAGGAGCACAGCAAGCATCTGTTGGTGGATAACACCCAACGCATGTGGAAAAAGTATACAACAAAATAACCGAATGCGGGACGTACTGAAGTCAATGCCAACCCGATTAAATGTGATGGCAAATGGTCATTGACCCTTTCGTTCTGCTGACACTTTTACACCCATCTGAAAAGTGGCATATAGAGAGATGTCACAGCGGCGCATGCCCAAAAATATGTAATGCCATTTTGTATATCGCTGTATTGCAAACTGGACACCCCGGGTGCTAATTTACCTCATACGAAATCGTTAACGCTGGTAATTTGATCCGATGGAAGAAGTAGGCCTTTTATACAGTAAAATCATGTATCGACGATTGGTCTTCCAGATATTATCGTCCAGATCGCGGGCTATCCTCGTGTCATTTATCGCTCGTGGCGCTCGCTGCTCAATCCGGCTCAATAGCCGGTCCATCACAAGTGCCTGGTTGTGATGAATCGCTTTAAGTGATTCAGAACGCATATTATGCGTGCGATTTTATACAATTCTAAAGCCACAACTCAATCCAGCGCGGGTTGCGTTCGACAGAGCACCATCCGCTTGTACGAAGTAGTACAAACTACCTACACTGATCATATTGTAGGCAGGTACCTAAATCGTCACGTACACTGTACTTGCGGAGGAAGGCTTAATCTCGTAACTGGAACACTCAAGGAAGGGGAAAACCCAACCAACCTCTAATGTAATTAGCTCTATCAATGTAAATCTCATTGAATCTTACTTCGCCAACATGAAACTGCACACTCTAAACGTATCTACTCGCTCACCACTAAGCGCGCGTCTAGCAGCGATTGGTGGGCTAATTGGTCGATATAATAGGCTATATCAACCAATGAATGGGGCGGTGCCGAACAACCCCTTTAACGGTAATTTTCCTTCAATATTCCCTTAGTAAAGTAAATACTGGAGATTATTATCGATTGAGGTAATATTTGCAATGACCTAAAAGGTCATGTGAATGGAATGTAACAAGCTCACCCCGTTTCACACGCTGGTCAGATAGGATATAAGCTTTGTGAGGCAATTACCCCATCATGGATCTGTAGGCATAGATTATACACATGTAGATTCCGAAGAGGCGGAGAAGCATGATAACATTGCATCACACAATGAGTTTATCCGAGCAACACGAAGCTATAACACACCGTATTCGCAATGCAATTCTTTCGCGAGAATGAACAACAATTTTCAATGCGACATCAGCGTTGCGAATGAAACGGTAGCGTCGCAGCACTAGGAGATATGTATTTCCACGTTGCTTAGCCACGTCGTCTGAGGTATCCTGTTGCTGTCAATCGTTTGGTGTAGACGAGTCCATATTTGCTGCTGTGCACAAAAGTAATCAATCGTTGAAGCATGCGACTTACTTTTGAAGCAGCCGATGACATGGCCTTTGTAGTGCAGGATGTTTAGGCTAAAGCAGCAGCAAAAGGCTTCACGGTAATCTACTGCAGATGTGTCCGGCGCGAGACGCAAAGCAATAACGAATGTACGACCCGATAGAAAAGCGTGTGCTTTGCCGTAAGACAGTGCTGGTCGGCTGTCTGGCGAGTGTGTGTGTTGCTGTTCGAGCACGTAGTAATTCGAGAGTCAGCAGAGCTTTCTAATGAATGTGAAAGTGCTTCGAGCGGAAGCAGCCACGCATACGTGTCTACTACATCGCGTAGTTGCCTACAGCATGTAAACAACGAGCTTAACATTACCACTGGCCACCACAACACATCGAAAGAGTCACGAACATGGTAAGACCGACGAATTATGCGAGCTTGGCGACGATTGTATAAAGAAATTGAGTCTTCCAGTGAAAGGCAGGTCTGTCTAACACGAAAGCTACGTCGATACCTAAAGGCTTGTACCAGAAGAGGTACGGAAGAAGCCTGACATGCTCAAAGTATTAAGCAGAAGTAGGTCGTGCCACTGGAGCAAAAGGCCAAGCACTGTCCAAGGCTTCCGTAAAACGAGAGTCGCTCAGAGGCATTGGCCGTCTACCCCAAACAACACCATTTAGCGCATTGCGGGCATTTACCGACAGCTGGGTCCACGTGATCAGTGGCTGGAACTCGCCACGGATAGTTGTGAAGCTGAGCATGCGCGTACCATAGACCAATCCGTAGTTGAGTTTTAAACTCGACACGTCCATGACGTCGGAAGTGGGTGGGACTAGTTTTGAGTACCCGGAATAGCATTCGTCCCATAACGAGACCGCTTCAAGGGTCTGGTTTGCGACGGCGGGGTTGTTGAGCCACACGACAACGTGCTCCCAGTCATGACGTTCCTCCTGGCCGTTATCTTTCGGGAAGTACCACGCGTACATGATGGCCCATTTCCCCCGATGCCAAGTTGAGCGCGCATAGACTTGAGACCCGTGCCCCGATCCTTTGCACATGCCGTCAGCGGGTCCCGTTGGTTTAAGACCAGCACTGGTCTCACCCCCGTCATTCACAGCAGGATACGAGTGACATCCGTCCGAAACGTGAAGACGGGATTTGAACTTGACACCCGCATGGTCGGAGACCGTCTGTGGATCCGGCTGATCAAACGCCTTCACGTCTTGGTGGCGTATCGGCCGAGCAATCCACGGTGCCGGTGCTGGGGCCCGTGTCGGGGCCGGTGGTGGGGCCGGTGCTGGGGCCCGTGTCGGGGCCGGTGGTGGGGCCGGTGCTGGGTCTGGTACTGGGGCCGGTGTTGGGGAAGGGAGGGGAAGTACAGCAGGCGGTTTGAGAGGCGATTCAAAGGTGTAGGTGGAGTCTTGGTCAGGATAGAGCTGCTCCGCCGAATCCTTGGACGGCGTCTTCTGGGCGAACACCGCAGCCGAAGCGAACAGAGAGCCGAAGAGGAAGATACCGGTCTTCATTGCTGCTTTCGTCGTCGTGTCGTTGATGGGGCAACTTGGGGCAACTTGCAGAATGTACAAGTGAGCTGCTTAGCCGCAGAAAACAAAACAGGACGTGACGGAGCGAGGGAGCTCATCGCAGGTGGCCGCCCTCTGCTGCGATATGTACGTCTGCACATCAAAAGAAGAGTAGCGTAGTTCCTACGACCCCACGGAGTGTGCAGTCGCTTTACACATCTCCCTCGACACGTGTAGCAACTTGGTAACCGCACGGGAGGTCAGATGTTCTTCGGTAGCTCCGCCAGCTCGAGCACGCTCCTTGCATTGCCCGCATAGTGGATCCCGAAACTGGTTTCGCAACAAACTCGACTAGTTCCCTCATAACGTCTGTTTCATAACGACGTGCACGAATATGTTTTAGCTCAACAGATACAATTCCTTTATTAGATGCAAGTTCGGGCCTCGATTTTGCTTTTTATCTTCGTTTAGGTATTTTACAACGAAGAGAGCGGAGAGTGCGAATAGTGTGAGGCACTGTTGAGCCACGGGCAACGTGGATGCTGGTTCGAGGCCAATCCTTACGTCCTACAACATTAGCTCACAACTCCTTCAACATTTGCCATTTCCTTACCAAGCTAAAGACGTTGTTGTCTTTCGGTTGATGCCACGTCGAATAGAAGGTCGCCAACTTGGCGACGAAATCGCGTACCTACCGACGAAGATGGCGAGTGAAGTGGATGCGAATATAAAAAGTGTCTCTGTTGAAGATCTGTTGCGCTACGTTTGAGCCACGTCTACTTCTCGCAGCGTGTATTGGTGTGTTACGGTTGTTTAGAGAGGCAACACGGCAGTACTCACTTCCGTCCCGCTTGACTTTACTGTCTCGTGTGTCTGACGAATGGATATGTCATGAGGAGAGGGGCATTAGCTCAAAGCGTCACCCCAATCCGTACGTATGAGAGTGACACCACAAGTACCTGACCGCGAGCCGAATCGATCCGTGCCCAATCGTCGTTTCCAACGCATATGTGCCTCCTCACATAGGTTGTAGATAACTTGGCCGGCGAGTACCAAACCGCAAATGCGCAGATTCGTTTCACGCAGCGAGTCCGTTGTCGTAGCATGAATCAAACCAGTTTATTTACGAAAGGCTGGAATCAAAATTGCGGTTCATTGGTCAGTAGGGTGACTTCCAGCATCATCTTGTTGGACAGCACCCGCTAGATGCTCAAGCTCGCTCTGCTGTTCATAAGAGGCTGCGGAGTCGTGCTGCATACCCCGCGTGATGACCGCCTGCGTAAGATGCTGTAGCTGAATAACTGCAAGCAGCTGATGTCGCACGCAGCTATTTAGAACGTCCCTCACGCAGTTGACAACACCACGTACATGTTTCAGACGAAAGCGCATGGAGCACTCGAGTGTAGTGCTGACGTAACAGGCGTTAATTTTCGACTCATCGTTACATACGTGTCGCAAACAGCTGCTCTCGTACCGATAATGTTCGTAATTGCCGAAGGCCATCAGCGCAGACCTCTCGGACACTCCCCTGGAGTGAGAGTTGAAGCTTCTCGTGAACATCTCCATTGCGCTGTATCCATAGAGTAGAGATACAGACGGAGCATAAGATCCACCAAATGCGCTGCCGCTGAACAATATACACCGCCACCGTATCATCAAAGGCGATTTACATCCGCTGCATCGTTGTCCGAGATAACAGCGGTGGTTGCCTTGCCATACAGTGCCTAGCATAATGGCTCACGTCATCCGGCCGTACAGCGAGCCCAAGCCACACGAGGTCAAGACCGCCTGCCAGCAGCTTTGGGCCACTGGACATGTCCAGAAAATAAGCTCGAGCGTCTCCTTGTGACCTCCACATGCGGACAGCCGCCTATAGCTGTTATTGACGTCCCGACCTGGGAAGAATATATTGAGCTGTTGGGGTACCAGACAATAATAGAACGAAACTTGATACTCCGTGATCGCATTGTGGTGGCCCCACAGCTGTTTCGAGGTCTGGTGGAGAGCCGCAGAGTACCAATCGCCCCGGTCCGCGCACGTTTGTAACTTCTGTAGCAGATCTCTCAACGCCGTGCCTGGCTCCACTTTGGTCTTGCAATACGGCTGGCGCTTAATGTGCTGCAGAACGTGGCTATTCGCGATGTTTGGCGGGGCATCCCACGAAAGCTGTGGATCGAGGGATGGGCCTTTATGACAAGGCCAGGAGCTTGTTGAGCGCGCTGGAGGGCGGCTACATGATGCCAATACTCCGGCGAAGCGATTTGAGAGTCGTCGACTGTCCAATTAATCCCGTTGGACGCTTGGTGCAGCCTGATGCCCCTGGATAGAATAATCGGCGCCGTATCCGCCACCCCACGGACTGCATTAGCCGCTACTAGCACTCAAGTGTAAGCTAGTCGTCGGACCGGGGTGGTTCGTAAACCGCCCGTGGGGAAAACCTCAGTATTCTGGATTGAAGCCGAAACAACACGCTCGGTATGCTTGGGGATACGAAGCATTCCCTAAGTATCATCATGCAACGCTTGACAAGGAAAAGAATACCATCTGGGTGTGAAGCCAACGATTGTAGCTGTTGGCAGGACGTCTTCTCAGTTCTTAATAAGAGATTAGTCAAAGACCCCTCGTCGCGGCGGAATCTTGCGAAGATAGGAGGATGTGAGGACAGCGGGAAGCCAATCGGCTTCGCACACCATCGAGAAGGTATCGCAGACGATCGACGGAAACTTGATTCACAGCTGTTTAAAAGAAACATTCTCTGTAGCCACCAATTACCAGCCGGTATTTGCCAGCACTGAGGCATTCACGACTATCGCACCTTGCGTAGCGGACAACAACACTGCGCCGTTCCCGAGGCAAGACAGCTGCACACTCATGCCGATTGTGACAGTAGTATCGTTTCTAGCGCTATATTTATGATCGCCGCGTCGCGTTTGCATTTAAATTCTGGCCACGAAATAATCTGGTTTTGTACAGGGAATGTACACAGTGTACTAGATAAAAAAGGAAGATAATCAAAGATAGTATCCATAAAAAGATAAAAACAATGATATCAGACAATAAACTATTTTATCTTGGGGAAAGAGAAAAACGAGGACGTAAGACGTATACTATAAGCCTGACTATTCGTAAGATCCATTCCACATGGAAAAATATCGATCTAGTTTTAGGATTGAGATAGATGTATTACTATCCATTTAGTTGTGTGGTCCGCTTTTTTTGTTTTTTCTCGTCGGTGTATGAAACGCTTGAATTATCGGTCTTTTGTCGGCTAAACACACCGCCTTTACCACATTCGGTGACACATATGACTCTACTTGCCGCGATGAACTCCACAGAAGCAACCAGTCGAGCACAAGCCATCAACACAATGCAGTCGTGGTCCTACTTGAATCACAAATCCGTGCTGAACTTGTAGGGTGGCTATGCTTTGGGTGACAACACGCGGCAAGAGCTTCGTTGAACAAGGTCGAGGCCAGCTGATAATTTGAGGCACCACCATCAGACAAGGTGAATGCTGCAAATTCGTAAAAAGTCTTGCCTGTGTTTCCCCTTCAGTCGACACATACGCGATCGATCCTTCAAGAGGAGTCTGCTATACATTGAAGGGTCCCTGGGGACGTGTCTTATGACATGACATGCATAGGATCACGGCTCACACTATAGCAGATGCGCACCTGGACTCCTCGAATTTCGCATCAGAATGAGTTTCCAACCGTAGCACATCTATCGTTACTACTGATTTGTCACATATAGAGAGTGCGGCAGCGAGCTATGGTCTACAGAAGTGACAAAGCAGTAGATGTGTTTGAACCGCTCTTGAGTAAAATGTGTCAGCGCATCTTAGGAGGAATGAAGACTCGTTATAAGGCAAATCATTTGTTTTCAGGAAATGTAGTCGACTATGCCTGAGAACATGCGTTTATGCTTTTACAGGTGGGTCAAACATGCAGTCTAGAATCTTCAACACCTCGTCGCTCTCACTTGAGACATGCGCGACTGCCACTTGATGCTACCGGTGCTTTGGAACTCTCGATCCAAAACAAATGTCGGCTAGTGGTAATTGTGCGAGTTCGGTAAGACACACGACGCACGTATGCGGGTTCAGATTATCAGGCCCTAGAGCCGAAATTGATGCTGTCAAACCTGTCCGAGTATGATGCGGCGTTCGACCCCGTTCGCTCAACCGTCATCTATGAACGCGGTTGCGCAGTTGTGCATTCCATTTGTCGTATCCGAGAATAACACCTCAACCCGATTCTATTCTGTGCGAAGTTTCGATCGCAACGCGGGTTCAGTAAAGTGCGCGCCGACACTCCTCGATGTGCCGTCACTCCTCGATGCGTCAGCGAAACTTCTCAGCGCCACCGACATGGTTTACTCTTCCTTTATGGGTGAGTATAGATGCGAGTATCAGTATGAGCTTTCACGTTCGCACCGCATGCGATCATGTCGTCATCGCAAGAAAACATATTGGGATGAGCGGTCCTGGATACATTCAAGAGGATAATATGGAAAAGTATTAACCCAATAAAATGAGGCTGAATACAGTATGCCACTTCAGCTCGGCTCCATAGCATACCTCATTTACCAAATCCGGATGACGAGTGGTCTGTCTTGTCGGGTGCCAAAACTACAATTTGGTCTCCTGTACGGCCTCTAGTCGGTGCGACCATACAGCCCTGTCCCGCTCCATCTTATCGGTGACAGCTCGTTGATCATATGACAAGAGTGACGCCGTTAGTTCTCACTGCGTCGCTACAACTTCGAACACTTGTCCTGCACGACCGTGCGACTAGAGACGAGATCGACATGGCCGGTTATTCACATCATTACCGGGACCACATCAAGATACTGGCCACGACCGCAATTTGCAAAGGGTACAGAAAACTTGAAGCAGGCCTGATGGTCGTCTGAAATAAAGCTTTAGTGACGCGTTTAGTCTCATGAGATAGCGGACGCCTCGCATCAGCCTGACATTGCCTAAAACCGGCTCACTGCCGTACCGTTAGCCACGGGAATATGTCCACGAAAATCTCCCACAACATGGCACGTTCACGGAACGACTAATGCAAAACACTGAGCATTGTGCGCTCTTAACAGGCCCATATCTTGCGTAAAGACAATAGAACGAGCTTTGTAGTGGTGCTTCGATACCTGAGTACAACAGACTAACAACAAAGTTGAGTACATTGCGATCCGCCTGGACCACCTATCTCGTCATTGGGCACTATAGCTTTTTATGTCCAAGCTTGGCTCCTATATTTGCCTCACTGTAGAAGCGATCAAGGTTGCCGATGGGAGTTGATCGTATCGAAGATGGTAGTGCAGTACCTGCTGTAAAAAAGTCGTGAGAAGTTCGTTGTCGGTCCTCTTCTATATTACCCGCTTCATAGTATCGACGTTGACGGCAAGGACGGCATTGACCACTCAATCGTGACGATATAGCTCCTCGTCTTTTCACAAATACGTGTATTGCATAAATGCCAATGGTGTCAGGCTTGCAGGATGTCCTTCACAATCTACCGGCCCACAACTCGTCATGTTCATTTTTGCACATGAATTTGAGCTTCCAACGGTTTAGAATACTTCAACAAGTTCAATCTGTTGTGATCAACATTTTTCTTGACCATGATTGTGCGTCTTCAGGACTCTATGGATTTTTTCTTGCTTCGATGCATGCCCTAGCCATGTGCGTAAATACATGATCCCCTGTCGGCTATTGCCGACTACGTCAGGACGAACACGATTTGTTTTCCACTTTGGCAAGGCATTTTGCACCTTCTCACTCAACGAGCATGGGTTTCTGCTGCACCAGATCGACTATGCAAGAATTTACAAAGCAACGTTGTTGAAGGATCCCTTGATCATCAGATGAGCTCAGATATTGTCGACGTCGGACAATACGACCTCTGCCGACGATGATGATATTGTAAACACGATGGAGTTTCCAGATGGTGTGATACGTTATCCGTTTGCCTTATGGATGCTATTCTCACTGATGCACGTTGTATCCATTGGTCTCGACTTATTCAAAGCGTCGACACTCACTTATAAACGAAGTGGCACGCCACCAATCGAGCGTCGGGATTATTTTCACATGTTTTCAAGCTCGATACGCTTCCTCGAACGTCACATCCACACACTACAGTCATTTCTTGACGCTTGTCGCAGACTATGCACAGTAGCTTGCGATATCCTTTGACTCTCTGTCGATGAAATGCATCAACCGAAATAGGTGTGTCTTTACGAACTAATACGACCAGTCATCATAAATGCCTTGCTCGGAGAAGCGTAAGAGGGTCATGAAGACCAAGAAGCCGGTATACGATTTCGAATCTACAGGCTCAGAGGTAGCAATGTAGTTTCGGAACAACAAAGACTTTTCAACGATCAATGCATCCCGAACAATGACAAGAACGAAGCCTTGTAACGGTATGGCCCCGTTGCAGTTTGACGTATACATGAATGCCGATTCGAATGTATTCTTTCGAATTACATATTGACCAGTTTTTTTGCCACGGAAAGTATTCGGCTATAGATCGACAGCGCACTACTCATTGACTGTTATGGGCCATGATCCGAGCCAGCAACAACAATACAATCGAAGCTGCATACGCGCAAGAAGTCAACATGCTTATGCGTAGTTTGATGTACGTACAGCCAGTGATAAAATACATCATCGAAATGTAAGCTGATTGATTACATGCCCTCTTTTTCCATCGTAATCGAACTTGCCTAGCTCAGTTGACTGCGCCCTGAACACGTTAGTCTGCCTGTGAGAGATTGGGGCAACTGATCTACACCGTACTCATTGTTGGTGATTTAGACAGTTGTCATTACAAAGCGAGAGGTGCCTCGTTACATGTTGCACTTTTGGTAAATTGGAAGAGTTGGAGATGATGCCGATCTCGCACGGGTCCTTGGTCAACAATAAGACTAGCCGGCGATGTATCAGCACGCATGACATGCTGAGCATGAAACTTCAATCGTCGATACGATGTGTAGCGGAGAGTGCTGCCTGTATCGGAAAAGAGATTCCATGTTGCGCCATATGTTGGACATGCTCTACCGTATTTCGATGTGTCGACCCCCAATCAATCTTCAGCTCGTGTATGGTCTTGGTTCGATCAATTTCATGAGATCACCTGTAAGTTCACGGATGCAACGGGGTTTCTACTTGGCTGTATCGTCATAAAATACTCTGCTATATAGTTTATACACTTACAGCGGTGTGGGATGATCTGAGACACCGTTAGTGCATCATAAACGCCGTTGTCTGTCAATGTCCATTACGGCTGACTTGTGATGGCAACCACGCATAGGTTCGAGCAAATTGTATTAGGCACAATGCAACTGATACCACACTTAGGTACGTGTAAACTAAGGCATCATCACGCATCTTACTCAGGCTTCTGACTTTCACATGCCATGCTTGATAACAATAACAGGCTGTTAAACCGGCGAATATCAGCGGAAGTCATTTTTAAGGCAGAGGGAGATTTTACATACAAATTGATCAACACAAAAATAACATGGGACGCAAAGACAGACAAATTTGTATTCTATAAAGTTATTGTCACAATCGAATTGCTCAAATGTGTAATTTTCTCTGCCATCGAATCGAAACATGCAAATCAAGTTTCTACATGTCATCTATGTAATATATGTAGGTTTTATCCCATTTCGGTTGATAAAGTCCCAGGACATTGGCTCGGAACACCTTTTACACTACAATACCCGAATTTACACATTTGCATTTGACTGAAAGATCTTTCGGCCATTATTACACCACGCGAAAGTGGTGACGAGGCCTCGCGAATGGAGTTTGCGAACTACATTCCGCACAGCTGTATGTAGTGAGCATGGTGAAACAGTTTTCGGCTAGTCACGAACCATTGCAGCCGTTTCGTACTCGTAAATTGCTAGCATTTTGCTCCCCGTACTAGCCTGCCATCCTGACATCTCTTTCGTACTTAGTGCGCTGTGATCAACAGACTTGACCAAGTTACGGACGACAGCCACTCACCATACTTTATATCTCACGACGTCTCAGCAGTGTAAATGAAAGTGCACGGGCTGGTAGAAATACTCATTTGTATTTATGATCCGCCTGTGATGGCATGCCATCTGATGTAGCCAACGGGATCTCGCGACAAATCAAAGCTTTGCATACAAATATGGGATAGTCTCCATGATTGCATACGAATGCTTGATCGAGCAAAATCCGGCGTACTAGGACGTCAAATCTCATACTTTCTCGCTTCTGTTGACCGAAGTGTGCTTGCTTTAACTTTACGAATGCGACCGGGACGCCGGCGTGCCGTGGCGCACGACGTAACATTGATGTACAATGAGGGGCTCATAGTGCGACAAATGGTCGTCTGCAATCCACCTTCCGCATCATCAAAGCATCAATCTACACAGCAGGCCATACTTCAAGAATCGACCGCACATGCGTCAATGCGAGGACCACTGCGATCGAACTTGTTACTGTCGTCTTTTATAACAGCGTAGTCAATGATTTTGGTCGTGCGTTTTGCTACGTTGTGGTTCTCATCGAGTGATTTGAATCTGGCTGCGATGCGGCATGATATGCTGCCACTTTAAACACCGACTACTACGAATCGATTGTGTGCAAAGGGACGTGCCGGTACATTTGCTAGAGCGGTCCTATGTTTGCTTCTTGCTGCGACAAGTGAAAAAGAAATGTCATGCCCGTGCAAAGTAACACTTGTGTTGGCCCGATCGAGGCTAACGATAGGTCCATAATTTGCAATCAGTATGATAAATAACGTGCAGAACAAAAAGAGACGGCAAAAATAGGGATGATCGCTTTGCAAACGCGATCGAAGGCATATCGTGCTCAAATATCGCATGAAAACTGCACCGTTTATTCGTCGCTACCTGATATTTTGCGCCCAACGTTTCGAGCGACTGGATTTTTCTTCTTCAAGTCCCCCAACTACTGCATCGTTCGGGCTTTCTCGCAGCCTCGAGAAGCGAGTCCGCGGGTAGGGTTGTCGAGCATCCGGCTTTTATCGCCACGCGCTTCCCGCTGCGACGTCCCCCGACACGACTCGCGTCGCTTTTGCAGTACGGCTTCGAATCTCGACGTTTGTTCGCTCGAGAGGCCGATTACTCGATCCATTCCCGCGGGTTCGTCAAAGTATCACGAACATGTGGTTCGAGCCGCCCGCTGTGGCCAATGTGGCTAACGGCGCGTGAAAAAACAGTGGAGATGGGCAGTCTGCTCTTTGCACTGGCGAGTGAGCTCCAACAGAGCTCCAACAGAGCTCTCAACACGTCGACGCCGCTCCCGATCAGTTTCGCAGAACGTCGTGCGCGTGTGCCTGCAGCTCTCAGTCAGCTGATCGGAGCGTATGTACGGACGAACGAAGCAATCGACTTGCAATACGGGTGGGGCGACCGACGTCTTGCGCCCCACGCAATTCATTTGACAATTTTCGCTCGAGGATTCGCGGCGAGACTCAGCGATGCAGACTCGCACCGTCGTGTCGACCACTTTGATAGCAGTAACAGCAGCAGCAGCAGCAGCCGGTGGGATCCACGCCAAAGACGGCACAAACGGCACACTGACGTTTGAGTCCCCTGTGCTGACGGCCTATGTCTCGACCGTATATTCGACGCCCACTCGAAAGTCGAGCTTGGAGCTGTGGACGCCCAAATGGATCAAACACCACCTCGTGCAGCCCTTCCCCGAGCCCGAGCCAACGTCGGTCTCTGATTGCGCGAGTGTCATGTTCAAGCCGCAGCTCCACGTCGTGCGCGGATGCCACCCGTATCCTGCAGTCAACGAAGTGGGGGAAACTGGCAGCGGTCTGAAACCAACGGGACGCCCTGATGGCCAATGCAAGGGATCGGGGTACGGGTCTCAAATCTACGGGCGTTCCGTGCGGTACCGGGGCAAGTGGGCCATCATGTACGCGTGGTACTTCCCGAAAGACAATGCGGACCATAAACGTCACGACTGGGAGCACGTTATCGTGTGGATCGACAATCCGGCCGCCGGGAACCCAGAGGTGCTGGCTGTCACGCCGTCGTGCGGAAAATCTGCCTACTTGCGGAAGGTCCCGCCTGGCCCTGAATACATGAGTGGAGAAAGTGTCAAACTCAGCTACGGAGCGGATATCAAGGACGATTACCGGCTCAAGTTCACAACGGAGACTGGCGAGCACCAGTCACTGATCATGTGGGAGCAGCTGCCGGAAGACGCCCGCCGAGCTTTTAACGGCATTCTCTGGAGCAACGTCATGATGCCTCTAAACGATGCATGGTTTATGTCCGAGTTGAAGCGGGCCTGGCCTTTTGGAAAATGGAAAAAGGGTCTAGTGAACGCTACGAGTGGCACTGCATCCTAAGGCCACGGCCGCCCTTGCCTGGTGGTCGCGCTTGCTGCGCGATTACAGGTCCATAGCACTTTTAGTATCGCGTGGATGGCTGAGCTGGTAGTCATCGGATGACTGAATTACCCGCTTTTGCAACACAGTAGCTGCCGGAATCGACTTATCTGTTGGTCTTGAGTAGTAGTGACTTTCTTCTGACCTGTCGTGCGGCGACGATGAGGATGACTTGCGGCCGACGGCAGGACAAGACATGGAGCAAGGAGGAGTTGCTGGCCAAGTACGAAGTCGATCCATGTTAACGATGCGCTCACGCTTTCATGCGTTTGTGAGTCTGTCGACTCTCGCACGGTCACTGTTAATAAGTGTTCCCAGTCCTCACGTACGGAGTTCGTGCTTGGTAGGCACAAACAGCTTCCTCTTACGTCAATATAACTTGATCGTTCTCAAGCCTATGAATCAAGCAGTACGTAGACCTCGATAGGGCGAGCGTCACACATGTCGCCTAGACTCCTCTTCATATGTTCTTGCGACCTCTAATTTGCTAGAACGATTGCTGCCTTTGCTTATATGCACCTGTGAGGCAAATGGTAAGATAGATGTACACTGAGTGAACGTGGGTTATCATTGCGGAGGCACAAACCGCGGGCATGCGATACGAAAAGGTACTAGCGACAGCAGCTTGTCCCGAGCAAGCAAGCGGTCCACTGCTGCTTTTTCTTTGCTGAAACTCTGTCGTAGAGGCGCGTGTCAAAGGTCCACGGACGACCGTTCTATGGCGAGTTGGTGCAAGTGCACACCGTACAGGACAAGTAAAAGATCAACCGAAAAGTGAACACATCCGACCACGAAGTCAGGCGCAAGGAAACCCGCTCAGAAGTAATGGAAGTTTTCAAGGTGAAGTGGAAGGGGGTTCAATCATTTCAGACCAGCGAGCCCGCTCTCTTGATTTCTGGTACTCGTCGGTGTCCCATCGGACGTGCGATTGGCGGCGGCTTTTGCAAGGCATCCGGTGCGTAGTTCCACTCTGCGGCGGAGCACATGCTTCCTGTATAGACTACCCTTGCGACCACTCTTTTCGTTTGCGCGGATGCATTCGGAAAGAAGCTGTGGCGTTTGAGCTGCGCTGTTGCATCGATACGTTGCTGAGGCAATGGCCCATGGAGTGGCCGTTGCTGCTACTACATGGCCGTTGCCTGAGTTGATTGTGAGGTCTGCGTTTGGTTGAGACTGGTTTCGGTGTCCCATTTGGTCCTGCAGCCTACGTGCGGATCGTTTAAAGTTGACCGCATGCAGTTCAGTTTGCTTGAAGCTGCGACACACGCCACTAAACAAATGGCTTTGGTCATCAGGACCTGGTCAAACGCCGGTCAAGTTGAAGTCTTTGCATGCGCTTCGCGACACTCGTGCGTTTCCACTTCGATTCCTGGAATGCACATGTTCTCGCCACCACAATGGCCCGCGCTTTTGCTCGCTGGCCAACGTGGCGCTGTAAATCCTTCTTTTACATACCAAGTGTCAAGCGGCGTTGGTGTCGACGACGCTCTTCACTTAGGCGCGTCGCACTTCCTGCACCATGCCGAAGCTCCCTTGCTCGGGCACAAGCTGTGTCGTCTTATCCCATAGTGACCGTCACGCCAGCTTGCGTTCTACTGACACGTCTCCTCGGCGGACTTGTAGCACCGTGATCTCTTTAATGGTGAACGCGAGACGTACATTGCCTCCAGTATCTTCTGCATCCTTATGGACAACAAGCCGAGCCAAGCGTTAGGTGAAAGCCCCTTGGAGAGCTAAGGGGCTTTCACCAGTGACAGTCCCTGTCACCAACTTCGTTTACACATTAAAGCAAAGGTACAAGTCCTGTGTATGACCACTTTGCGCACTCGCAGTTTGGTACGACGTCTCTACAATGACGCGAAAGACTCGAGTCGAGTCGACCCAAGTGGATAGTCATGAAAGAGTGAGATATGCCAGTTACGCTTAGCTGCCTGGTCAGAATACCCTTCCAGCACGAGGCAGAGAGGCTTTACCCACTGCGGCTGAAGCCTTTTTCTCGTGTGGCTGACGGTACAATCGCGCACATGCACGCGGCAACAACTCCTTCGAAGAAGTCACTACTTCATGACGTTCCTTCCCCGACAAAACTTGACGCGCTGAGGAAGGCCTCAATCGTCAATCGAGCTTTTCAATGAACGCCAGTGTCGAGCTGACCTGAGGATAAGCATCTGGCGCTGCAGCAACGGATTCCAGAAAGCACATGTTCGTGGCACGAAAAGGACCAGCGCTCGGATTGCCAGATTTGTTGAAGGAGGGGGGCGGGTCTGGGTAGAGGTCGGTCGGTAGGTCGTCGCCCTATGCATCCTGCAGGCAGAACTTGGATGTGAACGCGTTGCTGCGAGGAGTGTGGAAAGCGCTGGGCCTTTACCTACTGGAACATGCACCGCACGCACGCTCGAGCCACAACAGAGGAGTAGACCCACTCGCTCCTTTGACCAGAGCTCCGGTTTCACGACACGATTCTGCTCGACATGCGCTCGGACGAGTCGTGAGGTCTCTGCTTGAACCCGTTCGTTGTTGTGGTCCATCCCGAGAGTCCCTCCCACCCACGACCCAACCGTTCCAACGGCCCCGTCCTGCCCTCTCCTTTGCAATGCACCGCCCGCTCGCTCGGAAACTTCTGCACGAGTCAGCAAGTCGAGTCAACAGTCAGTCAGTCAGTCAGAGTCGACCGATAGACCGACAGACCGATAGGCCGTCAAATCATTCCAAAGGACCGACCGCAGGTGCCGCGATCGCCCACTTGTTGTCGCCGTCTGTCTCGTCACACGATCATCGCCCGCCTGGCGCAAAGAAGAAGAAGAGGAGGAGGAGGAAAGGGGCAAAGGCCGTCGCGTTTCGCAGACGGCTCTCGTCACCGGTCGCGGTTTTCTACGCCCAGCAGCAGGTGCGTCGACCGTCCAGATGGCCCCTGAGCCGCGGGACGTTTCTCCGGATAACCACAGCGACAACACGACGGGTGCCGTCGTCAAAGAGCCAAAGAGCCCGCGAGTCCGTCCCGTCCGATCGTCAGCTGGTCGCGCGACGACAGAGCCGAAGCCACAGGCGGCGAAGGAGGAGGAGGAGGAGGAGGAGGGGAAAACCACTTGGCCGGTCCCATGACACGTTACGCTCTGACGTGTGGACAGCGGCCGACCGTCTGGCGCCTGAGCTCGCACACAGCGTCGAACGCGGTCTCATTCGCAAAGGATGGAGTCGGACGGGTCCATGCACGTGCTGCTCCCCATGGTGTCGCTCATGCTGCTGCTCGTGTTCGCCGGCGGGCTGTGGTTCCTCCGCACGCGCAATCAACTGCGAGGGGCGTCGCAGTCGTTCTTGGCCAGGTATGTAGCAGGAGCAGTAGTTGCAGTAGCAGCAGTTGCAGTAGCAGTAGCAGTAGTAGTAGTTGGAGTAGTTGGAGTAGTTGCAGTAGTTGCAGTAGTAGTAGTCGGTTGGCCTTTGACTGGGCCGCGACGGTCGCTCGCTCGCTCGGGGTATGGCCGACGGACGCTGTTTTCTTGTCCAGGACACGTTTCACTCACTGACGAATGGATTGGGGTTGTTGTTGTTGCTATTGTTGTTGCTGGTGCTGTTGCTGCTGCTGTAGGATGCTGTTGCAGGAGCAAGAGACGGTCACGCGCCTCGACCTCGAGCGAGGCGAAGCGCTGGCCGAGCGCTGGAAGTGCTACGTGTGCGAGTTCAGCAACGCCGTGGACCGGCCCACGTGTCTGCTCTGTGGCACGAAGAACGTGAAGCCCCGTCGGTGCTCGGACAAAGACGACCTGCCCGGCCGCAAGCTGTCGATCGCCGGGCGCGAAGAGCGTACGAGCTCTGCGGGGTCCGTGACCATGTTGACGAGGCCGTCGTTCTCGACCCAGCGGGGGTCCGTGCTCAGTGGCAGCCGGAGACCGTCGCTGAGGCCGCTGCGGCTGTCGACGCTCAACTCGCGACAGAAGTACGCGCGACGACGGAAAGAGTGGGTGCGCTGCGTCGGCGAGAGCGGCGGGTCGGCCTTTTGGACGCGAGCAGACGTGGCCGCGTCGTCGAGGCGGTTTACGGGCGCGCAGCATAGCGTCGGCCCGAGCGTGAGAGGCCACCGACGCGTGTCGGTGGGCTTTGTCTCGCGCATGGTGCGTCGGTCGTCCATCATGGGCGACACGGGACGCCTCACGTTTGCCGACGCGTCGCAGCTCGATGCTGCCGAGACCATGAGCGGGTACAAACTCACGGCCCGGGAGCTGGAGCTGCTGGATCGCGTCTCGAGGCTGCCGTTCCCGAGAAAGTACACGTGGTTTCTCGAGCGCATGGGCGCGCTGTTGAGGCCGTGGGAAGAAGGGCGCATCAAGTTACGGGTGCAGCGAGAGCACATTCTCGTGGAAAGTATGGAGCAGTTGCTGGGGATTCAGCCAGAGCACATTCACTTTCCACTTCGAATCGAGTTTATAGGCGAGGCCGGAATCGACGCGGGCGGTCTGCAACGCGAGTGGTTTTCCATCTTGTTTGGTCGACTGCTGGACGACGACCTCGGGCTCTTTATGACGTGCCATCGCCACACACAGGCAGTGGCGATCAACCCGCACTCGGAAGACTGCACGGCGGACCATCTGCTGTACTTTCGAGGGATCGGACGGCTACTTGGCCGTGCGCTGCTCGAAGGACAGACGATGCAGGCGAAACTGTGTCTACCGATTTTGAAACACTTTCTCGGCACGCCAATTACGTTCTCGGATCTGCAGTACGTCGACCCTGAAGTGTACACGAGCATGGTCTGGATCCGCGATAATGACGGCGTAGACGCTCTAGATCTCACGTTCAGTGTGACTGAGTTGCGAGCAGATGACGAAGTGGTGACCGTGGACCTGGTCCCAGACGGACACGACGTGGCTGTGACGGATGCTAACAAGACGGAGTTCCTGCACCTCAAGTTGCGGTATCTCATGTTGGATCGGTACGCACCGCAGTTGCAGGCGCTGTCGCTCGGGTTGTTTGAGGTGATACCACAAGAGGCTCTGCTGGCCTTCGACTACCAAGAGCTGGAGCTTGTGCTATGTGGACTGCCCGACATTAACGTGGCCGATTGGAAGCGCAATACAGTGGTCGCCCCAGGTTTCAGTGACGCCTTGAGGGTCGTTGACTGGTTTTGGGAGGTAATCGACGACTTTACGGACGACGAGCGAGCCCGATTCTTGCAGTTTTCAACCGGCTCGTCTCGCGTACCCGTGCAGGGATTCAAGGGACTAACGAGCTACGATGGCCGAATCTGTTTATATTCGCTGCGACCGCTGTTAGGACAGACGCGCGGCTTTCCTAAGGTGCACACGTGTTTTAATCGCGTTGAGCTGCCCTTGTATGAAAGCAAAGTTGATATGGAGGTAGCTCTGTATGCTGTGCTCGATATGGAGTGGACTGAGTTTAGCGAGGAATGAAGCAGTCGCGTGGTGAATAGCGTGTTGGGTGATGAGCATCGGAGTACAATATTTAATGCGACGGTATTGAAATGACTGGCTTTGGTCGAGTTTTGTTATCACGTCGCATTGCTGCTGCACATGTACACGTGGTCTACGAAATCTTAAACCACAGACGCATTACCGTGCGCTGCTAACCACTGACAGGCAAACACATGACGGTGTAGTGAAGTTTTTGAGCGAAACCAATAAACTAATAATCGCTTGTATTGCTAATGTAAATGAAATAGGTGTACGATGAAGTGCAAAAAATAATACCACATACTGCAGCCTTACAAAGTTACCGTTAGGTGGTCGCTTGGTGCAATAAGCAGTAAGTTGATCGATAAGGTGACAATTGTCGTAGCGAGCCCCGCCATCGACGGAAAGCACCGGGTCTCAAACGGAGGATTATTTGACAGATCAACCCAGATAGCAGATGAAAGATCGCCACTATACCGCACATTATGCTTGAGGCCGTAAGCACATTACAACAAATTCCACTCCACGATCTTCGCGTACCTAATTGACAAAACATATTTCTTAAGTTGGTTCGGGGCTTTTTACATTCCCTATTTCTAATTATTTCAAATCAAGGACTTTATGGTTCTTATCAGCGCCTTCTAAGCGAAAAAGAGCCCGCCGCATGACAATGTCCTAAATTTACGTGCAAAGTCGTATTTAGTCGAGCAGAGAGAGGAAAACAAACTAGTCTATTTATCCTTAATGGGTTGCAATATGTCTGGTAATCTCAAATCTAGTTAGCGACACCAATTCCTCTTGCGGATCATGTAATATTATACGGGCCTTGTCACCGTATGAACGGCTTTCGTTTTTTCTTCGAGCTTGATCCAGCAAACCAGCAGGCGTGAACCCTGTACATTTCGTTTCAGAGCTTCAAGACTTATGCGTAGCATCAGCGCGGAATTTCCGCATGACCGATCCCAATATTCCTCGACGCTGCTGGCGATCGAAGCGCGTTCCTGTATAAGCGTGACTCTAGTTCGTTGGGTCTACAAACAGAAAATGTCTACGCTGCTCAATCCGCCACAATCCCTTCCATTTGGCAGCGTAGTCTTTTAATTCGCCGGGATGATCCCGGCTGAGATGTTCGGTAACCACATTTGATTGCTCCGGCCGCCCTCGGTTGATGCTATGCGCAAGACAGCTGTGTAGTCGGTGTAGGGTCCACGCTTGACCTGCCTAGTAACAAATAAGCTTTTGCCAACAGGCTCGGGCCTGGGCACATGGACAGGGCCAAGTATCTCGAAAAGTGGAGCTAGTGCGCCTCTATGTCTTTTCAAATGCTGGAACGATTGTTTCTTGAATGCCAAAAGATCATGTCTATTACCGATGGAGACGGACACCTTCCAGGGCAAACCATGGAGTCGTAATGACTATGTCATCGGCGAGCTGTTATTCTCGTGTCGTTGGCAGTTGGCCGCCGTCCGCTGATCTGCTATAATATCCGCAGCCACCATCCAATGCATGCCAATGCTTGCTTGTCCCAAGTCTATGACACCCGGCTGACCGCACCATAGTGTGGACATTACCTTTGAACGCGGCCTGTCGACATATGCTCCCGGGCGTGGATATGAGCCAGAGACGGTGAGTTTCTCAGTAGAAGATGATTTCCGACTAAAAGCTGCGCGTCGATGGCCTCCTAGCACATGCGGCAACTGACACGCCTCCTCCGTAAAAGCCGTCGGGTTGCCGTGTACGAAAGCCTAGAATCAGTCAAGTATGTAGGTATAAATTGTAGAAACTTGCTGCATGATGATGTACAATTCCTGCCGACCCATCATCCTTCTAGCCGTTGGAGACGACACGGTACAGACTGCTTGACAAGGCGAAGTCATTTCAAACGGCGCAAATGCTGCATCGTGCCATATGAACGTTGCTCGTTTCCGATAAAATTTATTGAACGATTATTGTGTACAGGACAACGTGACCGATAGTAACCCATGTGACTATACTGTCGATGGCGTCATGCTATGATGGTAGCTTTCTTCATTGTGAGGCTCTCTGAGTCGACATGATCGACGTGCATCATACACCATATGTATGCTAGTGCATGCCCGTGGTTCAACACGCTTTCTGTGCCTGCATCCCCATGGTTAAGTCGGCAAGAAGGCATTGCTGATCCATGTTCCAGCACAGATTCACATGCAACATGCCCGCAAGAAAACGGCGACACGCATGCATGCGTGCATGAAGTAGGTGTGTGCGCAATCAAGAAAAGAGACAAGCGCATCTTCGAAAGGACACAATGGGCGTCTCTGTGGCTGGCGTAGATGCAGTACGTTGCATCCTCGAGATAGTCAGCAAGGGTGGAACAAGCGCTGCATGGTTAACGCGCACCACAATAGCATCGAAGAAGCGTGTGAGAAACCATCTTCGTCGCATACAATCGCAAACCTGCACACTCGCAAAGGATTGGCCATCTTACAAGTGCACGACAACCTCCCCACCTTCATGCAACAAGGGTCACATACAGAGAGACGTGTGAACGCGTGTGCGCGTGTAAAGATGGTGTCAAGTACGTTCATTATTACGGTTTATTAACGACTGAATGTGCCAGGAAGTACGATCCGGAAATCCGGATCGACGACGTGGGTGCTCCGAGGAGCTGACAGCTAAGGAAGGCAAGGTCAAAGACCGGCCAACCCAAGTCGAGCCTATCTTTCAAGGCTCTCGGTGCAACGCTGCCCAATGCAGCAGAAGACGTGGAGGCGCCCGATCGACTCGGCGACCGCCAGCGCGGCCAACCGATCTATAGTGCGCGTAGCCGAAGTGACGTCGCACGTCGGGAGAATGCTACCACACTATGCGGCAGGTCTTGACGTGGCCGCTTCAGCAACCGTCCAAACTGGATATCAACGACCGCCGAAGCGATAGCAGTGGCGTGGGAGACACCTCCAGCTGAATAATCTTGCCTTGCATGGCCGCTTGCGCGACCCGTCGGTCCACTACGCCCACACCCGAGACTGCGAGTGCAGCTTGCTCGAGGCAGAATCCAGCCTTCTCTGGCTCCCGTAAAATAGGGGATTATTCCCTCCGAAGCGGCCGCCCCCGAAGGGAAAAAGCAAAGACTGGCGTAAGCTGCACCGAGAAAAGTTGGGAATGTGTGGGGTTGTAGAGGTGTTGCACACAACAAACAACGACCGACTTATCTGCATGTGAGGTAGCGGTTACCACTCGCTTGTGGTGGTGGTGTCAAGTACGTCCATTATTATGATAACTAACGACTGATAAGTGTGACAAGAAGTACGGCCCGGGTATCGGGTCGACAACTAAAGGGCTCCGTAGAGCCAGGGGCGACGGCAACGAGGTCAGAGACCCTCCTACCGAAGCCAACTACGAGTCAATCATGACCGCTGGCGCGACCAAGTAGACTGGGGACATGCGTACCGCCGGAGCGGCAGCACGTACAACGCGGGTATGCTGCCATATAAGGCAACAAACCCCTTTAGGACCGCTTGCGCGGCCCCCGACGTGGAGTGCGAACACCGAAGTGACTGCGTGGCGTGGAGAACGCCAACCCGCCATATATCTCTCCGAGGAGCTCAACCATCTGCGATGGTGGCCCCTTCAGCCGCTTGCGCGGCCCCCGACGTGGAGTGGATCACCGAAGTGACTGCGTGGCGTGGAGAACGCCAACCCGCCATATATCTCTCCGAGGAGCTCAACCATCTGCGATGGTGGCTCCCTTCAGCCGCTTGCGCGGCCCCCGACGTGGAGTGCGATCACCGAAGTGACTGCGTGGCGTGGAGAACGCCAACCCGCCGTATATCTCTCCGAGGAGCTCAACCATCTGCGATGGTGGCCCCCTTCAGCCGCTTGCGCGGCCCCCGACGTGGAGTGCGATCACCGAAGTGACTGCGTGGCGTGGAGAGCGCCAACCCGCCATATATCTCTCCGAGGAGCTCAACCATCTGCGATGGTGGCCCCCTTCAGCCGCTTGCGCGGCCCCTTGACGTGGAGTGTGCGCTCGCCGCAGCGGCGACACGTGGCGTGGGGTACGCCTCCAGTCCGTAAAACACCCCTGCTAGGGCCGCTTGCGCGACCCGTCGGTCTCCTACGCCCACACCCGCGACTGCGAGTGCAGCGTGCCCGCGTCAGATCTTCGACCACGTCGGCTCCCCAAGGGGAGGATTCCCTCCGACGTGACTGCCCCGAAGGGAAAAAGACTGGCTTGAGCTGAACCGTGAAAATTTGGGAATACTTACCACTCGCTTGTGTTGTTCGCACGACATGGAATGCACACGAGGACTTGCATCGCCACGTCGATAGTGGGTACACAAACAGATGACGATAGCACATCGCAACAAGGAAAGTCGTCACTCGAGCAGACAATGACGGCATGTCGTACAACCTGACGATTCCAGTTTGCACACCGCCTGACACAGTCAAACACAATCAACAGAGAGAACTGACCACTGTCTTCACTTTCGATTCAGCACACGAGGTCCATCTGCTGCAGAATAGGCGACCGAGTCGAGCATTTTGCGAGCCGTTCGCTTTCTTCTTGTACTGGGCGTCTTTCCGGCGAGCACTGTCGTCCTCGTGTCGACTGCTAGCGATCTGGAAGCCGTCCAGCGTCCCCAGAATGATGGCCAGACGACGAGCCGTCATCTTATGACCGTTCGCACGGCGGATGAAGGGGTGGTGAGAAAGGATGAGGGAGTATCGGCACCGAGAGAGGAGGGGAAGAGAAGATTACAGCGCAACTGGTTTACGAAAGTGAAGAGCTTGGCATCCAAAGACGAAAAGGCGACTGTAGACGCGGTCGAGGAAGCATCGAAGCGTGCAAAGTCGACTAAGGACAGGAAATGGGTGGTACAAAAGTGGGAGGAAGGGAAACTTCTGCACAAGCCGTATTTCCTAATGTCATCGAAAGAGAAGCGGCGCTATAAGATTTTCTTGGGCGCTTTGATCACGATTGTCATGGGCGGTATTGTGTTTTCTGTCACAATGATAGC